CGTCAGGCGAATAAACATATTGTCCCAGCGATCGAGTCTTCTTCTTCTCATGTTTCTTTATGTTATAACTTTAGCGTCAGGTATTTTACACACCACAAACGTTCGACGTAGTCCACCCACACATTATATTGTACCCCCTAAGAAAAGCTTAAGTTACAGAAATACATAAGAGTACAGAAATAAACAGAAACAAAAACATATTTTTCCTATCATTGTACGGCGAATATATATATATATATATATATTGAATATAAAATGCGATACAGTCTTCCAAATGTTACCTTACTACTACGGTTTGCGAATGTGTTTTTTCTCTCAAGAATTAAGGTACCCGCTGACTGGTTGAAAAATGAGATTCAAATTTTCTGATCCGATGAGCGTTCGAAAAATTTGACGTAGGTTGCCTTCCTTTCGCGCTCGATTTTATCTTGAACCTTCCGATTCGGTTGGAGTCCGATTTATCGCAAAATGCTTTTTGTTTACTTTTCAATTATTATTATTCGTTTCGTATATAAGCTTATAATAATAATAGTAATTTTATCTACTATTTCATACTCTTATATGGAACAAATTTTAAATATTCCATACTGCGTCCTGTTATGCCTCACCCGTACAGTCCCTATTACAGAATTCTGGGGTTATTAGCCGCTGTGGTGATGACACTAAAAGATCCTTACTTTTCGGCGAATCCCTGGGCCAAGACTGCAAGGCAGAAAATGCTATGAGGTCCGGCGGGATCTCACCATTCATGGATGACATAGGAACTATATTTATACTGCAAGATGAATAAATTTTGACACAAAAGTGGGGCGCACATATCCTGTTGTCTGCACCCAAGGCCAAGCACAGCTGTTGTACGCACACTGTCGAATTCTCGTTTGCTTTTAGGAAAAAAAGGGAGGAGAGCATGACCACCCACCTGGCTTTCGGCGCCCTCTGGACAAAGCAGGGGTGCAGGGCGCTTGGGGGCAGTTGAGGCGTTGGCAACAAGTTCGGCGATGAGCGAGGACTCGGCACCACCGTAGAAGCCCCTCGGCATCATGTCCATCAGCTCCTGGGCTAGCTTGAACCCAGCGTAGCGCAAGAACTTGGCCGACTTCTTGCCCATCCACACGTACAGCTCACCACCGCAATCCACCAGGTAGACATTCTGGGGCTGCAGAAGGGCTCTTGTCAGCTGTCCCATTGGCACCTCGGTCTGCCCAAAAAACGAATAATTTACAGCGGGACGGTTATAAAAAAAGGCAGGAAGGTGGTCATTTAAGAGGATGAAAACAGAGGGCAGCATCTAACTTGCACTTGAACTTGCAGTCTCCCCTTCGGAATACACAGTCACGCACACCTAATGCAAATGGGTGACCAAGGGGGCTTATAGAACAAAAAACCGGTAAGTAAAAAAAGGAGGTTCAAAGTTCAAAAACCAGCCAAGTTTGCATGTGTGCACGCAAAACATACCCCACGAGAGCCTGAAATACACAAACTGATGTGACAGGTGAAAACTACTTACAACAAAATAACTTGAGAGAGAGCATACATGTAAGCTCAACAACGTGAAAGGAATTTACTGCTAAATTTAATCGAAACACACTGAAAAGTAAAAACGCGAAAATGGAATTAGCCCGTCCGGCAGTTGATAGCTGACGGTAAAGAGGAGTGGCAAAGGAGCTGTAGAAAAAGCATGTACCCTCCGTTTTCAGCCCCAAACGACTTCTGCATACTGAAAGTAAGATCTATCCGGAAAAGGTGCGTTTTGTTGAGGGACTGAACGTCGAACTGTTATCGAACAGGCACTGCGTGTTTAGTTACACCAGACCAAGTACGTGGCTTAGCAGGCATTTTGTCGCAAGGCACACTGGGAAGAGAATGATTATACTGAGAAATGTGGCAATTTCGCTCGTGATGAGGTAAACTAAGGAAAAACTGTGTGCCGCAGCATATCGTACGCTTTCACAACGAGTTCACAAGGCGCTAAATACTTTTCCGAATTACAAACAAAAGGGCACCAGAGAGTTATCACCCAACAGACATGTTCAACGGCTGACGAAAGAGAGAATCCTACCGATCCGCTTCACAATAATTTTTTTGCTGAACATACGCCAGCGGAGCCACAACGCTCTCGTGAATGGAAAAGCACGTTTGCACTGGAATGCGGATACGGGGAAGTCGGATTGTCGACTGCGGCACAAATCAAGTTGAAGAAAACGAGAAAGAATACAGAGGGGTCAAGGCGTGTCATAATTAGTAAGTACAGTAGATGCCGAAGATCACGCAACATTTCACCATATGCGAAAAAATGATACTCTTTCGCTAATCGGCACTAACTCAAGTTGTGATACTGATTATCGTGTAGTCTATTCTGAAGTCATTTCA